CAGCCCCACTGCTAAGGGATCTCCATTCAGAGTGTTCCCAAGTTTTTTCGCTTCTTTCTCTACTGGGGAGTACTACGGGCTGCTGGTTCATGACTGAGCACCTACTACCCGTAACACTTGATCGCGGGAAGTGTCTTTAAGCGAGAAAAGGGGAACGAATATTTTGAAGTGAGGAATCAACAGAGGAATGGAAATACAGTAGCAGTCGCTCCATTCCCCAACTACTGGGTCTCCCGAGAACCAGCGCTGTTCCTGTTTGTGAGATTTGTAACATTAAGTTGTGTGTAGGAAATGAATGTCTTATACCTACGCGAGGCAAGCAAATAAGCCTCTGCTCCCGTCTCTCTCTCTCTCTCTCTTTCTTTTTCTCTCTCTCTCTCAGAAACACACGCTCTTGGGGTTCATCGTTCGTAGGAAGGGAGACACTTACGGTTCTTCTGTGAATATCTACGACCCTTATTTTTGTTTCGCACGTTGACCACGCTGGCCCTACGGCTGGGTTCCTCTACCCCGAGGATGCTTCGAATCTCGCCCGGTTTTCACTTCCTCTGTGAATAGTCAAGAAATATGACTATCAAGTCTTGCCAATGTGCCCTCCACGTTAGCAGCTCTCAGGCTTTCATATTTGGAACCTGGGCATTGGGGTTCTAAGGACCCATTACTCACTCAAAACTCTAGTCTACGAAGAACTGCGGTTATGGGAATGTTGATAAATGATTTAATTTTGATTACTTTTTTCTGTTTTTGCGACGTTCAAGTTAAGCTAAGCCCAACAAACTGCAGGAAGCAGCAATTATTATTACAGGCGTGCCATTACAGTAATATCTCATAAAACATAGGAATCAACGAATCATACTTCTTCATTGGATTTTTTTTAGTGCCAAGCTAACCTAAAGGTTACAATCTTTTTCTTGCGGGCGCTGAGGTTGTCGGTGGTTCTGGGTTTGGAGCTGCATCAGCCGTTCTCCATCATTTGCTGAAGAGAGCAACCAGCGACAATTGGCGGGAAACGGGATGGCGCAACGACAAACCCAGCCCTTCTTACCCACCCCCACGTCGGCAGCGGAATGACTGTGAATTCAATCTTTGCTTCGATAACAGAATACGCCTGAAATCAATCAAAAGTAAGATTTGTAGCTCACTTCCTCGAATGTGGAACAGAGGACAGTGGCAATTCTGACGACACCTCAAGGTACTGTGAGCATATCATTGAGCCCACGAAGCACTGTGATTCATAAACCCGATACATCCTCACCTGAATAGATAGTATTTGCAAAGGCTCCAGAGGATTATGAGATGGAATGCTAAGTAGTTCCGACCATGTTGTTCTGGAGAGCATCGAAATTGT